GCTCTGAGAGTAGTACGCCTACGCCAGCAGAGGAGCCCATCCCTGTCACAGAAGAGCCGGAGCACATCGCGCATTCCGAGGAAACTGCCGCCACCGATCCTGCTCCTGTCCCTGCTGCTGAGGGTCAGGATGAGGCGGAAGCTCCAGCTCCGCCCAAGGAGCAGCCCGTGGCACCTGCTGTAGAGGTCAATGGTGACGCGCAACTCATACAGACCGAATCCGTTGCAGCTACCCCCGAGACTGTCCCTGCCGACCCTGTGGTGGCCGACGGGGCAAAAGAGAATGAGGCGGAGAGCGGAGAGCACGCTGAGACGGTCGAGGAAGACAATGGGCAGTATGTGGGCGATGCGACGTGGGAGGAGCGCACGTACAAGGAGCTCGTTCGACTGCGCGAGGAGATGTTCTGGGCGCGGATCGGGGCCGCCGTGCATTGATCAAGGAGATGAGGTGGTTCGAGGAGGAGAGGGTAAGACGAGACGATCTTGGATATCTATCGTTATGTTCTATGGTAGGGGGCAAGGTTGTTGTACCGGACACTGCACATGCATAGCATTCTAGAGCACACTTTTTGGCGATTGCCAACTTTTCCTGCAGTATATACAATGTCCGAAAGGGTGTCGAGGACCAGGGAGAAGTAATGTACTGACAGTGACATGGCCCCGACTCCCGAGCTCGCGGTAGCCAGATATCATCACGTGCGCTGGCCAGTACAGCACGTGGCATCTGGCCAGGACGCGACGCGCGTTTCGGTCGCTCCAGCTTGAGAAGTCCAACACCCACGTTGAACTCGCATTCAGGCCTTCCCCACGACCCGCTAGCTTGTTGAGTCGTCGTATCGTTGTGACAGACAGGAAAATTGAGCCCCGCATGAGCAACACGTCCACAGCTTCGGCCAAAGCTACTATCTCACGAGCGCCATCCCTATTGGTATCGCCCCCCAAACGCAGAAAGATAGAGGGAGAACAACTGAGCCGTACTGGAAATTACGATACCAGAGAACCCACAGGCCGCGCACAAGACGAGGAACAGCCGCAACCCACCGCCACGGATATCTTGCGATGGACCTTCACGAAAGCCGCGATTGCCTCCTGCTTCGTCAGGGACGTGCTTGAGATGAAGGAGAGCGGGATGAAAGGTACGTGCGTTACGTATCTTGCGAGACGCATCCATCCGACCTCTGCATGCCGTGGAAGACATGGAGTACTTCTGGTTGGGCCGAATCCCCTGTCGAACTGTGCGTCTCGTTGGGCTCGTAGTCGGCGTGCAAGTCTGGGAGAAACGGACCGTATACACTATTGACGACGGTACTGGAGTCGTTGACTGTGCCCTTGCGCACGCCCAAGTTACGCCTCCGAGTCCGGTCAAGCCTCAATCGAGAGCAGCTCCATCGAACACGAAAAGCGGAGCGAAGGCAGGAGGACCGTCTTTTGCCGACTACCTACCGTCCTCGCGCAAAGTAGCCGCATCAATGACCGTCGCGCCTTCGAAGCGCATCGTCGCAGAGCCACCACCCCCTCCTAAACCCGTCGCGCGGGTCGGTCAGTCCGCCCGGGTCGTCGGACGTGTGATACCGAAGTTTGAGACCAGAATTATCCTCATTGACGAGATCTGTGAGTGATTAATGGTCCCTCGTGTAACATCACTGCTGAACCATGCATCGCTTAGCCCTGTGTGCTTCCTACAATGACGAATCTAAACATTGCCTGCATGTTGCTGAGCTCCACCGTACCACCTATCACCCTTCCGAACCGCTTCCACCTTTCGTGCCACCTCGGTTGCCACCACATACCACCACCTTCCAGTACCCCTCTACTAGCCGTCCTGGGTCACCGACGAAACGTGCTACCACCCAGGACCCCGTAACACCGGCCTCAGTGCGCTCCACTGCTCCCTCGGCCACAGCGTCTCCGAGCACGTCCGTTGCTAACTCTTCTCCGGCATCGAGCACAGGCGGAGAGCCACATGTAAGTCTTATGCCTGCTTGCCCCAATAGTAGGCTGAATGCGGTACAGGTACCACGTCTGCGACATCCCTCGCGTCTACACACCCGCGACCTCACCGCGAACACTTTCCGCATCTACGTCAAGCACTACATGGACAATGCTCCCCCGCCCTCCCGTCCCCGTCCCCGTCCCCGCTCTGACGCGCGTTCAGTATCACCGTCCCCTACTCCAAGGTCATCGCAAGCAAAGAGGAATCGTTCGCTGAATCCTCCCAGATCTAGCAATTCGAGCAGCTCTCGCGGTCGCTCTGGCGTAGACGCCACACCACGTCCCTCTCGCGTGCAAAATGCCGCTGACCGAACACCACGCGCGAGCTGTCTACCTTGTGCGCCGTCTGACGATGAAGATAGTGCAGACGAGGATGACGGGGATGACAAGATGTACGGCTATACCCTATCGCACCTGCGCCGGGTACCCGAGCTCTCCCTCCTTGCTCATCGAGTCGTGAAGGCGGACGCCCACCGCCGCGCAAAGGAGGAGCGCAAGACAGCCAAGTCTCAAGGAGGCTCATCCAGATCTACCGCGGCACCAGGGCGGTCCTCCCAGTCCGAAGATGCGCTGAGGGGTCCTGCCGTGAAACGGCTGTTCAAGCAGGCCATCCGCACGCTCTTCTCGGAGGGTGACATCGTCCTATGGAGCGGACCCATCCGTCCTCTTCCGGACCCCGCGCTCGATCTATTAGTGCCCTCTTCGTCGGCGCTGTGGAAAGCGAATACGAGCACGAGCTCGACGGCGCCATCATCCCGCTCCGCCATCTCGTACGAAGAGTGGGACGAAGAGGTGCTCAGCGACCCCACGCCCGGCGAAGAGGCGTACGTCCCGCTCACCCCGGCGTACTTCTCGCGTGTGCTCGAGGACGCCATCAGGACGATCATGGCAGAGGCAGCGAGGTCTGTGGAGGCGACACCCAAGCCCAAGTCGGCGCCGGGCAGGGGCGTGTCGCTCATCGATCGGTTGCGGGCACAGGAGAAGGAGAACAAGGGCCCGCCGCCAGGACCGACGAAGGAGGAGCTGCTGGCGTGGTTGCGGAACAGCGACGAGCGATGGGCGCGGGTCGGGGAGTGGTCGGTTGAGGAGGCGCTGCATTGGGGGAGGAGGGAAGGGCGACTGTGGTGTGTTGGCAAGGGCCGGTGGGAGATTTGTGGGTGACGGTGAGCATACTCTTGCGTAGGTCTCGCGTTGAGTTCCTTGACGAACTCCGTTATAGGATGTCAGCCTCGCTCACTACCCACATATCGTCACAATGCGCCGATAGCTCGTTTGACATTATTCTCGCCAGTTAGCGAACCCACGGATAGGTTTGATGATCTTCAATTTGATGATGAATATGCGGATGATCAGCGTACGCATTTATCGCGTCGATGCACGTACGACGTTCAGATGGTCGGGATAGGAATGCAACCCTGCGAACAGGCGCGGATGCTCGTCATGCAGCCGCGTGTCGATGTCAGAGGCCGTCCGGGGGCAACGTCGGATATGACGATGTCGCTCGGTTTGCGCTCGACCATATCCATGTATGGTCTCCCGCCTGCCGTATATGGGCTATGTCCTCTCCCGATCGATACTGGCCACTCGCTCCCTCCGTCACACCTCACGTTATATAACACACCCCACAGCGGCGAGTAACCCAAACCATTCTCTTCCCCCTCCCCCACACTCTCGAAGATGAGCGCACACTCTGGACACGCATCGAACCTCCGTTCGGGCAACCCGAACGCCCATATGCATGTGCACGGACAAGGTGGACGTCCCATGGTATGTGTCATTGGGCGCGACGAGGACGGGATCTCTAATGCTCTTCGTCAGACGATGATTCTCGGGATGGCCGCTGTCGCTGCAGGCCTTGGCGGGTTCTGGCTGCTGCAGTGGAAGGTTCAGAACCGCCGCCACGATTCTCCGGATGCCGCGGAGATGCCCACCTGTACGTTGTCCCAATCTTGTTCAACCGCCCGTGCTGACTCGCTTGCAGGGCAATTTCGCCACGCTCAGCAGGCTCCCGAGTTTAACTCACGCATGAGCACGCCCGGAGGCACCAACACCGTCGTTCGGAACCGCAACGAGCCAACTCAGTACAAGACCGCGATGCCCGTGGATAAGAGCACCGGAGGCGGCGGCGCGGCATCGAGCGGGATGGTGCAGGCTCAAGCTCATGGGGATGGCGGTCGCGGATTGGAGAGCGGCGGGTCGAGCGAGCGAGGTGGCGAGACTGGTGCTGTCGACCCTCGCGGACATGACAACCACGCCCCGAAGAAGAATGAGGAGGGCTCGCACGATCGCGGTATCGTGGCTTCGATCCTTACAGCTTTGCATGTGAGTTCAGTCTCATGATGCAACGCCCTCGTTCATGCTAATCGCCATACCAGGGCGATCCAAAGACTGCCAACCAGGACTCCAACGGACATGTTGGTGAGCCCGCCCCCCCTCGTCGCATGAACGACAGGGGAGGCATCTACACGAAGGTGAGACATCTGTCGCACTCTACGAGGTTGCTGCCACAAATGTTAAATCGGGCACAGAATTCGGACTACAAGGACAGCTTCCGAAGGGATTAGTACTACAAAGTAGCAGTAGACTCCCGTAAACGTTCGATCATGCATGCATGCATGAATGCCGGGCCTGCCGAGCGCGCGAGGCCGGCACCCACTGCGACAGTCAACGCTCACGCTTGCCTCTCGCTTGCGTCCTCTCTCTCCTTACAGCGATAATAGTTTCTTTATCCCGCCCGCCCCACCCTGTATTACCGTGCCGTTCGTCATAATGTCATGTTTTTTTCTATTCTGTAGTTGGACGGAGACCTTCGCGGCACTCACAGGACCAGCCCACCCGAGCCCCGGAGTCCCCGCGTCCGCCCGGCTACGCCGGCGCCAGCCCAACCTCATTGTCTCCGTTCACGAACGCCACGACGCGTAGCTGGACGAGTTACACCAAATTCCCTCGTTGTGTTGTACCTTCGCACCGAGCACGTCTATGGTGACAACGCGCTGGCATTAGCAATAGGGTGCTATAGTGTAGTGGTTATCACTTGGGATTTTGATCTTCGCATTCCCAAAACCCAGGTTCGAACCCTGGTAGCACCTCGGAACGAATGACGGTCCATTTTGGAGCACCTGACGGCGATGGCATGAACTGTTCGTTATATGTTCGGTCGATATACTAGGGACTGTTTTCTCCTGCGGGAATTCATCCTGACGCCGAGTATACTATGGACGGGTCGCGGTGGCAACCATACACGGACGATCTCGCAAAGGGCTCACTGTACTCAGGCTTGGGAGATGTGGTGATCGACAGCACCGGAGTATTGCGATGCAAGCGAGTAGGGCCCGGGGAGAGCAAAGGAAGGCCTATGCGCCATAATTTAGTACGTAGAGGCGGCACTCAAGGGATTCTGATTCAGGATCTATCGGCTTGGAGTAAGATCAACACAACGGTTCTATTAGTGCATGCGAACGAATGCGTCCCATATCGGCTTTGCCCGTGTGAGCACGGTGTAGGACACTACTTGGCGCAAGCCCGGCATGACGAAGTCTATCAAACTTAGTGTGTGCTGGCATCTGGTGGGAGTCGGTAGGAAGTCAGTCATCGTCCCTCTTCACACACCAGGTTGAGGAGTGGGGCATGGGAGAACCAACCTGATGGCGATCGAAAAATGTACTGACGCACCAACTGAATGGTCAAGATGATTTTTACCTGGGCGCACTCTTTCCCTGCATTTTGGTGGCAACGGCGCGACGTGATGTTGACTTCATTTGCGACGTGGAAGAAGGGCGACTGATAAGTCGTGGCGGACCTGTCTGCCTTCCACGCCGAAGTACCGTTCGGTCTCGAATGACCAGACGAGGTTACCCACCATCCAGTCGCCGAGGCCGTCGACGTAGACTTCCAGCTGCTCGTCGATGCCTGGTCCCCAGGACGGAAGGGACCGGCGCAGTGCCTCGAAGCGGTCGATGCATTTGAGGCAGAGATCTCCGACGTAGTCGACGGCCTCCTGGAGCTCGAGATGTTCTTGATGTTGCACGACCACAATCATGTTGTGCGTGTCGCCTGTTCCGCGCGAGCCATGATCATCAGATCAGAAGACGGTGCCATTCGTGTCGAACTCCTTGCTTACCGTTCGCTTGCTCGACATTGTACGAGAAGATGTCCTGTGATGCCGACGGTAGGATTAGTATACGTGTACCACGCCCAGACCGCACTTCTGCGGGAGAAGACGTACGTTCGACCACTAGAACGAGCAGCATTAAATCAGCACACACTCACATCCCGGGCGACCAGCCAACACTCTCACCGTGACCAGATCGTTGGCGGCTTCTCCCAGCCCCAGCACAACGGGGTGCTCCATCACAGCGTCCGGCAGGTCCAGCTAATCAGCTAGCGCGTGAGATACATCTTGGCGCGGAGGCTTTACTGCCTGAGAAGAGGGAGGGGATAGACTCACGTTGTTGGCGTATTCGATCAGTGCCCAGCAGGGCTTGCACCCGCTCGTGTCCCGGCGCATGGCGATGTACGACTCGAGGTCGGGGATGTTGCCCGACGCGCGGTCCTTCGCCTGCTGCGCGACCGCGCGGAAGAACAGCTCGAACGTCGCGATGAAACGTTTCTGCGCACCCGCGGACCCAGTCTCGGCCATCCGGCGCCAGAAGCTGTAGCAAGTGGGAAAGGGGAAGAAGGGTAGCAATAAGCATGGGGCCGCCGCTCAAGGGAAGAACACAGGCAAACGGGAGAACCCGAACCCATCAGCCGACGGGCTCTGCGTGGGTTCCGTTGGGGTAGGGCCGGCCACGAGGATACTCACCACTGCGTCAGCCTTCCTACTGCGGACGCAGGCCGGAAGCCGTGCGGGTCGCGCAGGGCGCCGAGCACCTCGGCCGCGGTGCTCACGGTCGAGCGGTCGTCCATCTCGTCGCAGATGTTGTCGAGGTGGAAGAGGTAGTTGATGAAGTCGCAGCAGGTGCGGAGCTGGGCGCAGTCGGCGAGCGGGTAGCACATCGCGGTGAGCAGTCCGCCCTTGAGACCGTGTAAGGCCGCGCGCTTTTTCTTGCTCAGCTTGCAGCCGGAGAGCAGCCATTGCTTGGACTCCTCTGAGGCGAGCTTGTAGTTGGGGTTGATTCGGAGGGCCCATGGGCAGAGCGAGATGAGGTCGGGGAAGATTATCCTCGGCGCCGGAGAGTGGGTAGAGATGGTGACGGTCATAATATCAGAGGTAGCGGGAGGAGGTGGGCAAGCGAGTAGCTGCAGGCGGGATGGGGCGAAGGAGGGTGCGGCCAGTGCAGTAGAACGATGGCGATGCCATGGTACTGATTTCCTGAAGGCTTTTATGTCGTACGACGGTGTGGAGGTCGTCCAGATTCAGCAGGGTGAGCCACAGCGTACTGCCTCCAGGAATCGGAATAAATTGGGAGAAAATGTGGACCCGCAACGAGGGGCAATGGAACCTCTGGGCCGTGGGTCCTGGCAGAACTACGGGCGCGATGAGAAGGAGAGGTCGGTCTCGGCATGAGATCCCGCACGCGCAGTACGGGTCTAACGAAATGAGAGAAGGATCGGTTAGGTTTGACGGCGGGTGAAACGTACGCGAATGTGTCCGATTCACAATAAGGGAGGGTTCCACGGGAAAATCAGCTGTGAGTGCTGAGCATGACGAGGGAGAAATAGAAGGACTTACGAGGTCGTTGATGTCAAACATCAACTTGGCGGAACCAGGTCCACAAACGAACAGTCTAGGTGACGGCCGACAGGGGAAAGGCGGGCCTGGGATGCACAATTTGTAGACGTCCGCAATCCCGAAGCAGTTAACGCTTCTGTCGCACGATGCGTTCGTAAGGTGTAGCACAGTAGAGCGGAGGATAGGTCTTGTGAATATCCCGTCAGCTTCGGCGGGACAGGGATCCAACGACCTGGAAGCATCTGAGTCAGCTAACTGCGAACTAAGCGCTCCGGAAAAGGTTACGAACATCTCTCCCAAGCAAGGGAAATTTCATGAGAGGAAACGTATGAATGGAGAAATACGAAGACAGGGGGAATAAACGCGGTCAGGCTGAGATCCGGGGATCTCCTACCGATCTCGCAACAGGGATGATCTTTCGACTATTCCCTGGCGAAGTCGGACTGTTATGGATGCAATATGAACGTGAGAGAGACAGTCCAAGAAATGGGATACGACCATTAGCCAGCCTTGAGCTCCAACTTCAATCAATCTTTACAGGAACGAGTATGTTTGAAGAATGAATACCAACCGTGGAGTGTAGGACCGGGGACGCTACAATGTCATCTATGTAAGTGCGCGGCTCCGGTGGCCGAAACTGTGTCAACATCAGCACTTGAGATCGCAGAGTACCTTGCGGTGCTGAACGCTCCGAATGTAAAGCCTACGCCATCGTCAATATGGATTGACAGTTGCATCAGAGGCGGGGGTCCGGATATCAATCCCGCGATCCTGCGAATGACGGGAGCAGCGTGGCCAGGGTCCTCATTGACGTAGGCAACCCTAGTGCATCCGAGTCGTCTCTTCAGTACACGCAGCATACTAGTGAAACAGATCATGACACACCACGTCATATAGTGGCCGATATTCGCTTCAGGGTACGGTACCGGCCGTTCTATAGACGCAGTGTGTTGTTCCAACCCTAAAACATGGCCAGGACTCTGAGGGACTCGGAGACACGCTAGCCTTGTGGAAATGAACGTTGAGTTAGCCAAAGTACAGTGGGCTCTGAACAGACAAAACGTTAAGGATTGGTAGTATCAGATGTCACCTGGTGTACTTCCGATTCCGAAACGTGGAGACAGAGGAGTATATCGGGCGGTGCTGCACAATGCCACATAACGCAAGTTCGTTATATCTAGCAAACCTATGGCCATGATAAAGAATTGGAAGGTCCGCGGCGGTTGCAAGGTCGTGGCCTTGCAAGGTGGGCTCAGCCCTTCTGACTTCGACTTCGGAGCCTTGAGCATCCTTAAGATCTGGCAGAAATGTTTCCCTAGAAGTCTTCAAGTAGGGAACACATCAGGGAACTGAGCAAGCAACGATCTTCCCTGATAATGGCCGCCGCACCTCTGGCATATGTGATAGGCGCTTGTCGGGTCGACGGGCAATGGTAGAGTGTCATCGCGCCCGCGGCTGTACGGTAGATGGTGTTCGAACGCGCGCACTGTTGCTAGAGCAAAGTCAAGTCCGATGAATGTATGTCATATTTGGTCAGAACAAACTCGAGCTCGGGTTTGAATGGACAAAAAGACACAAGTAGGATGATTCATTATCATCCCCTACTGAATCCCATGCTTGAGAGGGTCCGCAGGAGAGCTCGAGGAAGTCGGGAAGAACGACGTGATAGCACAGTAGTACAACCTAAGTACAGAGCACCTTTGGACCAACTTCAGGAGAAGTAAGCATTCATTCCGAAGTCCTACGCAAGCGCATACAGCTGATACTATCCATTCCCAGTCCATATCGACGCCCGCGCGGCGGTCTGCCTGCCTCAATACCGTACGTATCGGCCCCTTGTACTCATCGCAACCTACTCCCATGGTAGATATGTGTACTCACCACGCCCAGTCCTCGCCGTGCTCTGTGATTCCGCTCAGTGACGAGTCGTGTCCTCCGGGTCGGTGGAGAACCGCGGGGGCGGCCTGTCTTTGCTGGCTGTATGAGTTCTCAACTTGGTTCCGAATCCTTGCGAGGCCGATGGTCGCTCGCCGTGTTTCGATTCTTCTGCTAGCAGAGATAGAGCGCATCAGAGTGTCGTTGAGAGAGCGCAAACTGGCAGGAGGTTGTCGGAGCAAGACTCGGACGAGGCTGAGTCGTCAAGCGCTAGACGCCCGTCTGCTGGGTATGACCGCATGAGGACTTTGTGACGTCATCGTGCCCTCCTCTCAGCGAGCGTCGGGGCATGGGGACATCTGCTTCCCCAATGCCCCAGCAACTATATAATCCGCTTCTTCGCTCTTCGTCTTGCTCGCCTCCCTTCTCTTCCCCTTCTATTCTGCACCCTCCGCGACCACAACCAGCCACAACCCAAGCGCGATACTACTTAGTAAGGAGGACGTCGGATAACGAGGATGATCATGACGTGGGCCCTGT